ATCGGAGGTGGGCGGGATCAAGAAAGGTCTGGATGGGGTCGGGGGTCACGGTGGGCGAAGGGGACGGGATCGGTGGGCGGGGTCAGGAAAGACGGGGTCGGGGTTGATGTCGGCAGGATGGGTCGGGGGGGGGNGTGTGTTAGGTGGTTCATTTTCCCTCGGATTCTAATACCTTGCCATCTGTGTAGTGCAAATTGTAAGAGTTGGTCTTTCTTGTCTTGGATAGCTCAGATGAGGTGGTGCTAGTCTTGGGTGGAAGTAGTAAGCAGTAACGACTCTACATGTTGTTCCAGGTTCATTAGATCGTTATGAGTGGTCATTTCTTGGTATTGACGTAGTGCTGCTTTGGCTTTGGAAAAATCCTTACATTTCTTTGCGAGGAAGATTAGACCATTGTTAAACCAGATTAGTCGCGAATCGAAAAGATGTTTCTGCTGCTGCCAGAAGTTCCATTCATGTCTGATCATCTGCAAGAAGGACGTGTCCTTGAGCAGGCAGGAGAAGAAGCAGTGGGGGCAAATTCAGGATCGAGGACCCGTTCGGGATCGCAGGGGGAAGCAGCAGGAGTCGGGGTGTGAGGGTCAATCGGGGATAGCGGGCGTGGAGGGAGCGGGATTGATCACAGACGGAACGGGGATCAATCTGGGGCGAATCTGTGGGAGCGAGGGGGTTGGAGGTGAACGGGGTCGCAATCGGGGATAGCGGGTCCGGGTCAGGGTCGGGGTCGAGGTCGGGGTTGATCACGGAGGGGACGGGGATCGGGATCGGGGTCAATCGGGAATCAATCGGGGGTGGGGGGAGTCGGGGTCAGAGCGGGCCTGGATCGGGATCGATCGGGAAGGATCGGAGGTGGGCGGGATCAAGAAAGGTCTGGATGGGGTCGGGGGTCACGGTGGGCGAAGGGGACAGGATCGGTGGGCGGGGTCAGGAAAGACGGGGTCGGGGTTGATGTCGGCAGGATGGGGGGGGGGGGGGGGGGGGCAGCGGGGTTGTGGGTCGAGATCGGTAAGGTGGGGGTCGGAAGTGGGGGGGAAGAAACAGGGCGAGGTCGGGGTCAGGTCGAGGTCGGGGTGGGGCGGGGTAACGGTGGGCGAAGGGGAACGAGAACGGTGGGCGGGATCTGGACAGTCGGCAGGAGTCGGGGTCGGGATGAGGGTCGGGTAGGATCGATCGGTCCGGAAGTCGGGCTCGGGGACGGGGAGTCGGGATCGACGGGATCGGAGGTCATGGGGGGTGGGGAGGAACGGGCAGGATCGGGGTTCACGGAGGATAGGGAGGAACGGGCAAGGTCGGGATCGACGGGATCGGGGTTCGCGGAGGTCGGGGGGAAACGGGGTCGGAAGTGAGGGGGGAGAAGCCCGGTGGGGTCGGGATCGGAGGCGGGGAAGGGAGTATCGATCGGTCAGGGTCGGGATGAGGGTCGAGTAGGATCGATCGGTCCGAAAGTCGGACTCGGGGACGGGGAGACGGGATCACCGGGATTCGGGGTCACGGAGGGTGGGGAGGGACGGGCAAGAACGGGGTTCACGGAGGGTGGGGAGAAACGGGCAAGGTCGGGATCGACGGGATCGGGGTTCGCGGAGGTCGGGGAGGAACGGGGTCAGACGTGAGGGGGGAGAAGCTCGGTGGGGTCGGGATCGGAGGCGGGGGCGGGGGAGGATTCAGTCGGGAAGCGGGAAGGGGACGATATCGGGATCGACAGGATCGGGGTTCGCAGAGGTCGGGGAGGAACGGGCGAGGTCGGGGACAACGGGATCGGGGTTCGCGGAGGGCGGGGAGGAACGGGATTGGAAGTAGGGAGGGGAGTAGCGTGGGGGGGGGGGGACGGGGTCGGGGCGGGGGGGGGGCGGGGGGGGCCGGGATCTGAGGCGGGGGGTAATCGCAGGGGAGAGGGGGGGTCTTCGATCTTGAGCCACCAACCTCGCACGGGGTCTTCGAGTCTTGAGTGTTTTGTCGTTTTCCGTCAGATCTTCTGTACAAAGCTGATGCGAGCGCGACGGACTAGTTCACGTGGCATCTGTACAAGCGACCTGCCTCCCTCACCGCGCCGGATTCCCAGCGCGGGGCCCCAAGGGGGGCGGGTCGCGAGATACTCCCCACGCCCGCTGTCCGTACTTGCTGTCCTCTGTCGTTGTTAGTTTAAACGCCTGCTTCCGTCGTAGTGAGTTTGACAGACCGCCATCACCTCGGTTTTCCACCTTTGCGGTCTCTCACCCTCTCTTCGGAACACTCGCTATGGTAGGTCTTTCTGCGCGCCGATTCACCAACTGGAGCCCGCCTCGACACGGGTATCCCTGCGCTCCCTTCCTCCCCCTACTATCCTTTTCCTTCCTTTACCCTTCCTCCCTTCGTGTCATCCGTGGCTCAGCTATGGCCGACACCGGCTCTGTCTCGCGGTCTCCCCCATTCAGCCTCGCATCACTCCCTACCTCGGCGAGCCTTGCGCGCGCTTCCAACGCAAGCCCGTTGCGTCGTGGGCGCTAAGCGGCGTTCAAGTTTACAAAACTATAGTGCCAGTGTGAATGTGCCAACCATGCCGAGCTGGCAATGACCAACCCTATGATTCTTTGACGGAACTCCCAACTGCCTCTCCATAGTAGTCTGCTCGTCCGTCCAAGTAATGTAAATGAATGTTTTCCCCAAGTCAGCTACAGTTGACATTAGTTAGGATGGCATTGTCTCTGAGATGTAATGTCCTGCTAGGAGTTGTTCTAGGATWAGGAGGCCAGAATTGTTGATATAGCATAGTCTTCTATATTTTTACACACTCATCATCATCATCATCATCAAAAAAAAAAAAAAAAMCTCGTCTGGTGTTCTTGAATTCTTGGCAGCATCTAGCCTTCTTCCTCATTTGGGATATAGGATTTCAGAGATGGTTGAATTTGGACTGATATTGGCAGAGTTGCTTTGTTCTGTGCCCCTGGTTTGCCGATGCCAGAACGACGCTGGCTGGAGCTGGGGCAATGCCATGTAACCTGCAAATGGCAGGAGTCTGAGGCTTTGTAGAGAGATCTAGGGTTTTTGCTGAGAGAGGAAGGCAATCCAGTGGCGAACCGGGGGGGGGCTGCCTTGACAACCTATGGGTCCGGGGATAGTCCAGGTGGCGAGAACAGGTCAACTTTGGTTGACGTTGGTTAAAATGGCATTGTCTCTGAGATGTTATKTCCRGGTATAGGGAGGGCTAGGAGTTGTTCTAGGATTAGGAGGCCAGAATTTGCTGATATAGTATAGTCTTCTATATTCTTTATATACTAATCGTCATCGTCATTAGCATCATCATCATTAGTATGATCATCTCATAGTTTACATAGAATCAGCAGAAGCTCATCATCATCATCATCATCATCATCATCATCATCATCATCATATGGCGGACGCTAGCCCGGTTCTCAGCAATTTCGGTTCGGTCACTCCGGGTAGACTGTGAGGACCCCGGCCTCAATCTTCTTATTGGTA